CTTTTATCATGATATATTTCTGGACAATATGGTCAAAACTTTTATCACGATACATTTCTTAATTTCCATCGATAACGATATAATTCCGATATTGATATAAACAATATAAAAGCCTCAGAAAATCTGTATGAACTGTACAAATAAATGAATGTTCACCTTTTATTTGTATTTAACCTTCAAAGAAATTTGAAATCACCGTCAAATAAACATAAAACTCTCAACTTTGTCAAAATTAACAGTTTTAACTTTAAACAACAACATAACCTACCATTTGCTGCAGGGGTTTCTCTTTTGACACAGCTGGGGGTGTTGTTTCAGGGACACGTTGGCTCAAACAAACTATTGTGCTTCATCTTCTGACTCTCAGCATATTCTATCGAGTGGAACAAGTTCGATGTGTTCCCACCGCTAGTTGGAACGACTCTCCATCACATTTTGAAACAATGAAACCTGCGGTTTATCAGATCTTAGCTAGCTGAACTACTTCCACACCGCCAAATTAGTCTTTCCTCTCTTATCAATAATGTCATCTGCTTTCTCTTCGCTTGTGAAACCTTATTCAGTCACATTCTGACGGTCAAGGGCGCTCATTTTGTGGCGAAAACTTACCGTGCGTTGGAGCTTAGCCTAGCCTAGCCTAGCCTGCTACCGCTGACTCCTTCTGGACTCGAGCTCTGTGTGTGGTGTACGTCACCACGCACTTACATAGTTGTGTCACGGCTTTTCTGTTCGGGTTGAAGCGGCCACTTCCGAACAGAAAAAGAGATGTGCAAGTGAAACGCTGTAATCATAGCATAATGTACATTGAAAATGTGCTTAAAACTCATATCGCCATTATTGAATAAAAGTATATCGTGATATATATCAATATCGAATTATTGTCCAGCCATAGTTTTGAATTAAACAAATTTTTTCACTCACTTGTGAAGTTACCCGTTTATATAAATATTAACCATTACTTCCATTATGTGTTACACACCTCTACTGGCTGACTTCTTGTTTGTGTAATAGTAGGTTTAGCAAACACTATTAATATTAGGGATGCACGATATTGGATTTTTGGCCGATATCCGATATGTTAAAACTTGTTTGGCCATAACAGATACCTTTAATATACTTTCCTTTGTCAGAACACAGCCCTCTTATTTAGGCATATTTGCTACAACAATTGTGTAACAGCTGAAGAGCTGGTGACATATTTTCAGTAACAGCCATATGTATAGCACATTAACTTATATTAAATGAAAAATGTTAAATGTTATTTATTAGCATTAGTCACCTGCAATGCTGTTTGTGGAGGCTTGTTCCGAGTTCCTAGCTGCAGTGTGGGATCCTCTGCACTCTTGAGCATGAAGGACAGACTTTTTAAGTTCAAAGTTTTTGTCTATCCATTGTGCCGTAAGACTAATCATGCTAACAGGGCTAACACGACGTCCAAATGTCTGTGGTAAAACTCACCCAAGTGCTATCGGCTATTAGCTTCTCAATGACGTCGGAAATGACGGCTTGTAACTCGTGTAAGGTTGCATTGGAAAAATATCTGACTGGGGATGATGTAGCGAGGTTCAACGTAGTCCAAAAATGTTCGGAATCCAATATCCTCACCAACAAAACAAAAAAACTTCAACATCGCCGACATTTTGACTTCTTCCGCTCCGCCGTGATCAGATCAGATTTTTTTGTTTGTTTTTAGTTAATGCTTTCATAGTTCATATCTTAGATCTTATTACTGTTTTTCTTTTACATTTTATACTTTGGATGTAACTGGGACCGTGCGTATACCACATCATGTGCGAATGCCAAATAAAGAACCTTGAATCCTTGAATCAGGTGGGCGCGTGTGACGTCATCACATTGTGCTGGCACTGCAGGCATCATTGTCACTGGGTTGTCATACAAAAACAGCGTCTTTTATATCAGTGAGTTATTTTGATGGAATGGCTGATGTTCAATATTTAACTTTATCACTAATATCGGCCGATACCGATACCACGCCAATAATATTGTGCATCCCTAATTAATATTTTCTATTTTGTTTTTCTTCTTAATTACAAGTACATCAAATTTGTTGCCAACAACCTTGATACCATTATTATTTTCACCTAAATTTGAGTTTACCAGTAATGTGATATGTAGGATTTTATTAGCTAAAATAGGCACGGCTGCGTAGATATGATGTCAAACTAAATTTCTTTAGCAGGCACAGCAGAACAGCCATAACAGTGGATTAACAGCTGAGGCTGGTTGGACAGTGAAGGACCTCAGCATTAGCTCTGCATTCCAGCCAAATCTGCAGCCTGAATATTCTCTAGAGAAAACTCTCGGAGCACATTTTAGGTCAAGTTGCAACAAGCAGAGAAATATGGAAACAGAAGTAGATGCAATATGTGATTTTTTTCGTCTAGTTGTACGTGTGTTTCACCAATCCCTCAATCCTAAAAGCTTCAACTTCTTTCTTGATCCTTCATGCTGTGTGGCCTCCAGTGTACCTGCACCCCTCCTCCCTCTTTCCTTCCCAGGGCCAGTTTTCCTGTTCTCTTCTCCCTCCCAACATCAGCCTCTCTTGATTTTGTCTCGGATTTCCCCAGGAAAAAGGCTATGCACTGGTCATGCTGTAAAAAACACAGTCTTCCTGATACACGGCCTGGGAAAGAGGACCAAACGTTCTCCCTGGGTCGGCCTCTAATCGCTACTGTATTTTTACGCTTAAGACAGCAACTCCTGTTTTTGAGCATGGGCACACTTTTTAAAATAAGCTTTTAATTACTCAGTATCTCCAAAAATATATTTAATTAAAAGAACTACCAATCAAATACCAGTAATTATCACTAATTTTGTCCAAAATACATATAAAATCTTGATTCCTTGCTAGTTTTTCTGTTTGTTTCAATAAAAAATGTATTTACTTTGCTAAAAAATAAAAAAGGAAGTTATCTAAGATCTGGTTATATGTTTTTAATCTGCATGTCTGCATGATTTGACTCCCATAATCAGCATTTTCTACTTTCTGTCAACACAATTGAAAAGTTTACACCTAATCTAATTATTCAAAATTCAGTAAGAAAATCCCTGCTCTTAAGGTGACGTGTTTTGTCACACCACATCTCCGTACACTATAAAAAAGGCAAAGGATGCTGGTTCTGCATTAAATGCACAAAGACGTGAATATTAAAACACTGCTTGGGTCCCCTCGCATGTCCTATAATTTAAAGCACTTGAATGGTTGCAGGATTCCCTCTGCTCTTCTCTGTGGTTCCCTGCTGTTTTACACCCCACTCCAGCCCATTCATCCCAATGTCGAACATGCAGTGGAGTACATGCACAGGGGACTCACACAAACACAAACAGCACAACCCACTTGAGCCCCACTGTTTGGACGAGGAGAGGAATTTTGAGCATGTAGCTTCTTTTCGGTCTTGGCTGGAGTGCGAATGACAGCGCTAGAGGCTCCCCCATTCATTTCAAGATAATAACCCTATCACCGCATTCAAACACATGGACACACATGGAGTCCATGAACTCATTCACCTCTGGTAAGGTGATGCTTTTACATATGATGGCAGATTTCACTGCCTTACACCATTTTAATGGATACCAACTCCAGCAAAACAATTTAAATCCTATTTTAGATTAAATTTGCAGGTTTAGCTGCAAGCTGTCATCAGCAAATAACCCCTTAATGAATCAATTGGTGTTAATACCTTAAATGTGACTTGGAAGTCACGCAAGTGGCTTCAATACACTGGAAGAATGCCACAACATTTTTCAATAAGTGCCGCTCTCCATTTACATCCTGCTAAATGTATTAAAACAGGTGTGTTGTTATGAAATTTTGCAAATGAGGGCCAGTACTTGCAAATTATGACACTTATTAAAGAGATGTTTACATCGCAGTAGCCTATTTCTCGAGCTTGTTTCTTCCAGATGTGAAAAGACAGTTCCAAACTGTATTATGTTTTGAGTGTATTAAATCCAAATAATTTGGGTAAAACTAGACTGGGTTAGAATAGTTTGTTTTTTCCCCGTGTAGGGTTCTGAAATTACTTTTCTTGTCAACTGAGGTTATTTAAATAAAGCATGTGTTTAAACTGAATGTGTACCTATAAAGTTAATATATATATATATATATAAAACAAACACTTGAAATACCTGTAGGTTATCTGAAAAAATGGTGGCTGGTGTTTTCCAGCCATCTATACAAAGACTTGGGAGTTATTATAATTATAAAGCAAGCCAAACTTGTTATTTTTGGTCATAAACAATAAAGTTTTAGGTGTAATTTAATATAGCCAAATGATTTTATCTAAATCTCCATGATACTGCAACAATGCTGCAAACTAAACGTGTAATCCGCCATTTCTCCTAAATTGCTTAAAATATTTCTAATATAGTATTTTTAAATGCTTGATGACACACATTACCCATCACAACAATGAAGCGTTGAACCTTAACAACATTGCATAAATCCACATTTCACTTGCATTTTCCTCACATTTCTTGATAGTTATAGCTCTCTACAACCACAAGCATTACTATTAGCCCAAATGTGTTTGTGTGTGGCTATCCATAAGAATGCTTACATCACAATGTGCATTGACACTGTGATACTTACCCAGTTCTTCTTGAATATTATGGTTCATTTCTGCCCAATGGATGGCGTGATGCTGTTACTCTGTGGAAAAGAAGCAAACAGACTATAGGTAAATATGTAATAGTTATAACAAATATCAAGGTCAAGGTGTCTTTACCGTCATTCGCACCACATTTGGTACATGTGGTGGAACGAAACTGTGTACACAGGGTCTCAGTTACATCCAACAAAAGTATAAATTGTAAAGAAAAACAGTAAGATCTAAGATATTAAAATATATAAATATTATGTTTCATAAACATGAAATCTAGCACTTTAATAGAGCTATTTCAGGTTAATGAGTATAGCTGTTATACATATAAAAGCTCATGTATAGTTTTTGTAAATAGTCCTTTAGTTAGGATAAACAATCCTAACCAAACATATTTTCTAAATGTTGATAATGTGTCATTTTAAAAAATATATAAATATTTGTCTTGAAACATGTTAATATTTTCTCTTTGTGAAAAATTTCTGATGCTTTCCTAGGATTGCGATATAAATATAATGTACATGACTTCAGCAAGTCCACCTTTACCCAGTTTACCTAATTCAATCACAGTACTTAATTACACGTATTTTTACTCATAGTTGGCATGTTCATTCCCACGTTTCAGTGCTGTTTGATGTTGTCAATATAAACCTTATGGTTATTACTGAATCTAGAAATTATAAATTTCTAATAAATGTTTCCCCTTAGCCAAACTTATACTGTACTTTCTTTATTGGTGTGTGCATTCCTGGCTTGTTTATTTATTTATTTAATCAAAGCAACTTCTGGTATGCTTGCAGTTTTTATATGAACAGGCTCTAAAGGTGTAGGTATATTATTTCTGAAAATAAATGTAATATAAAGACAATTAATATTACTTTTGCACAGAGTATTATTTCTTTTGTGCTAAAAAAAAGACAATTAAGTGTTATTGAAACATTTCATATTAAGCTGAGGGTGTTTTTATCCCTTGACGTAAGTAAATACAGGTTGTAGATGTGACCTCAGTGTAAAATATCCAGGTATGAATGATTGATGACACCGACTGAGATACCGCAGCTAGCAGATCAACTTTTGATGGTTTATCCCCACCTCGTGGTCAGAAAGCGTCCGAATCTTTGACATTATGTTTTTGTAAGGAAGCATTAGCTTGCCTGGCTCGGGTAAACCCAAAGCATCCTCTTACGACACTTCCTCAAAGAGTACTGTCGCATTTTATTCACTTTCGCACCGTAAAAGCCACGAAAAACGTCACAGTTTTTAAGCTAGTTCACAAGACCCTCAAGGCTAGTAGGTGGTTTGAATGCTGTTGTCCAAAACACATTCAGTTATTTTAATGTGTCAACGACTAAAACAGAGTTTACAATATTATTATTCGTATAAATAGACTCACCGTGAACTTATTTATCTCGGTTAGCTTGTTGTCGTGAGATTTCCTAGCTTTTAAGTTTCCTTCCTCCTTTAGCTCGTTCGCAGTTTTGGAGTAATTTCAGCCCTGAGTTTTTTATTTCAGGCAGCGCCTGCGCGGTCGCGCTAACGTTATATACACAACTGATGCGTGTTTACCAAAAATCCCACATATCACAGGTTTAAATTATGTTGTGGTTTCACTTGAGAATTTTCAAAACTACAGTGCATAAAGATTTTTGTCAAAAAATAGAAACACGTTATATTTTTTATAGCCTGGAAGAAAAACATTGGGTATAATTTAGCCCACTTCTTTATTTTTTCTGAGGAGTCTTGCAGCTACTGTGCACTACCTCCCCCTTCTGGTCAAAATACATAGTGCAGCCTAGTGCGCTCCAGTCAGTGTTGCCAGGTGTACGATAATGATCGTATTTGTACGACAATTTTGCCCTCTGTACAATCAATAATCCCAAAAAAGGCCAAATATACGATAATTTGACCATTCCGTGAATGTGTGGTTGTAATCGGTTGTCATCAGCCTGTCGCAACTGTCTGTCGGAGTTTTTTTTGTGAACCCTGAAGGCATCTGTGTCCGCAAACAGATGCACGATTGGCTTTATTTTAAATGTTACCTATGAGTGACGTTTGCCTCAGAACAACGGCTATGATTGGATGAATAGCCCGCCCCATGAGTGAGGAAAAGAAGAAGAACATCGGTCTGGAAGCGGACCCATCACTACTATAGTGCATTAATAGATTTGTTATTTTGGTTATGACGGGTGTACGATAATTTCCCTCAAAATACGACAGTTTCATGTCTCTAGTACAATAATCCTACATTTCTCACCTGGCAACACTGGCTCCAGTTGCACCGTTTTGTAGATAATTATATCCAATTTTTTCTTTTCCATTGTTTGCATTACATAAAATAAGAAAATAGAAGCTTAAGTTTATACATTGTTTTTAATCTGCTTTGAATGGCTCATCTTAAACACTGTATATATTTCTTAAAGCAGAATTTTCCAGAATCAAATAGAAGTCGGTCGAAATTTGACACTGTCACATGGTTCAAAATGTTCGTCACGTGACCCTGACGTAATCTCCTAAAAACAGATTTAACCGTGAACGCCGCAGTTGTTAATTACGCTGTCATAGTGTTCCGTTGATCTTACTTCCATTTTTGCTCTGCCGACTTTTTATAGGCATTTGTTTCGCTCATATAATTGTGGGTTACAGCGGGATATAAACACCCAAACTTTTCTGGCCCACCAAAACACAGCTAGCTTGGCTAGCTAGCACGTCTAACGTTCAGTTAATTATGGAGTGGCTGAGCAATGGAGCTTCACTTCACTCAAACCAAGAGTCTAACAGTGACCCTGCTTCCATATCCAGGGTTTTCTGTGAAGGCCATCCTCACCAGCAGGTAATAAATTAGCTTTTACGGTTGAATTGTTAGTGGAAGACTGCCACCTAGCATCACAGAGGATAAAGGATACAAAACGTGCTAAGTGGCTAGCTGTGCTAGCTAAACTGAGTAAAGCATGGTCTGTTTTTGAAATAATTTTTAATATTTCTCCAAGCTTGTTATTCTAACAGGATAAAAGGTGAGGTGTGTTTAACAGCCTTCCAGAGAGTAACTGCTAAGCATGTTTCAAAAACAAAAGTTGAGTAATATGGCTGTTTATATATGATATTGGGGTAAAAGTGTATAAATCTCCATCTGAAAAAGTGCTTCCCTAGTAGATGTAAGGAGAGCTGTTCCTAAAAACTGCTGCACTGTTGAGTCAGAAGACCTGCAGCCACGAAGTAACCATCTTTTTATTTATGATTTGTCCTAATTCACACATGTCCAAACCCAATATTATGTATGACTATGACTGAAAGCAAAGTAAGAAGCAAGGGAAATAAATTAAAAATAACATGTATAGCATTTTGTAAGCATGAAGGTGGCAAATCACATGAGACAAGTCTTTAATCAAGATTGTAGCCCTTTCAATCCAAGCATTTTGTTTATACGTGTACTATCACGGTTGTTCCAAGTTATAATGAAGTGAAAAGTGTCATGCTAATAAAGCCCGTTGATGAAATTTTAAAAGCCTCACTGGAAGTTTAAAAACCTTGTGATAAATATTTCTTTCATCTACCTGCCAGCAGCCACCATCATCAACCCTCTGTGACTGTGCGATGGCATCGCTGTGTCAGAGCCAGCAGCGCTGTGTGAAGGCCTCCATCGTTTCCAGTTGGAGACTGGCTGAGGCGCAGGACCAGCTGTGCTCTTTAGGGGTCCACAGCTCTGAGTCTCTGGAACAAGAACGTGCTCGGACTCTGGCCTGCCCGACAGAACTCACAAACATCGAAGAGGAGTGGCGTCGCAAAGAGAGCTTTTTGGGGGGTCAGGGACCCAGTCGCAGTCCTGTGCTTGGTGATACGGGAAGCTGGGATGTTTTTGATAGGGTAAGCAGATATAGACATAAAAGCAAATGCTTGAAAAGGTCTCAACTAGAACTCAATTATTGTTTTAATAGGTTACATGTATTTGTATGCACCTATTTTCTACAGACTAAAGTTGTTTATTCACAAAGTTAATTTTATGTTTTGTCTTTTATAGAGTATTATCAATTCTCACATTCAGCCTGTAGAAGTGGATGAGGACAAGTGTAAAACATTTCTTCAGAAATTTGAACAAGAGCTCAGGCATTTTGGTAAGTGAGACACAAAACCACAAATGCTGAAAAGACTGTCATTGAATGTTAATAAATAAATAAATGGCATTGAATAATTTTCAGAGCAGTTGCCAAATGTGCAGGTGTTGTTCACTATTGAATAATAATTGTATTGCAATGTTCTTATCTCTAACTAATAAGGTTTTTTATAAGTTTTGATAAAACAGACGTTTTGTGTGTCAGGTATGCTGCGGCGATGGGACGACAGTCAGAGATTTCTCTCCGATATGCCTCAGCTCCTCTGCGAGGAAACGCCAAACTTCTTAACTCTGTGGTGCATTCGACTACAGCAAGAAGGGGTAATGTGATAACTGCACTGAGCTGATTATCTTAAACGGATCAAATGCAACACTTTATTTGTTCCTATCAGCCTAATACAATGTGTGGTTTTATTAACAAAATGTATATGTTTTTATTAAGAATAGCATTTTTTTTTTTTTATTCTACAAAAAGCTCAGAATAATGAACCAATACCGCAATTATTTAAGCTAGAGACATAGTGTTTACACGCACTGTAGCCGTCTTTAGACATCAATATATCTAGTGAAATTAATATTTTTTTCATTCCGGACTTTTTACAGAAGAAAAAAAGTTTTTTGTTCTTTCTAGTACCCAAGTCATGGGTATTATCCCAGTGCTTATAATGATGGACTAAACTAAATTATACCTAATTTTGGTATTTGCATTTATAAACTTTTTCTATCGAGGTGTAGCAACATACCTTCGTGTTTTGTATATTATATAGTTCAGTCTGTGGCCGTTCAGAAACACAGAAATATTTGACATAAATTGGTTTTAAATTGAAAATCTCCTTTTTCAAACTTAGTTTAAAATGTGTTTTTCCACCATAAGAAGAAGGCCTTAAGTTAAGAATTCAACACTGCAATGTCTGAAACTCCTTTTCTCTGTAAGCTGAACGTCTACACTCTTCGTAAATATTACACAAATATTACTTTATTTTTTTTTCATCTACAATGCGCGTAAAAAAAAAAAGCAGTTGTGACTGAATACAAGAATTTTTAAATGTTTTTCTTTCATTTTAATGCCAAGATGTTGGGATTTTGAAAAATGATAGTTGTTGTAGCATGTCTGTGATTTTATTTTTACAAATTTAAACAAACGAATGAACATCCTCGAAGAGCGGTGATTCCACAATACTTTTCTTAATCTCCAAGGGAAATTAAATAACTAATTATAACTACAATAATAAATAATTATAAATGATAATAACAAATTAAATTACATGTTGTAACCTGTAGTTCCATAACTTTTACCAGTGACTGTATGAGACTGATGCTCCCAACAAATAATTTAAAGTTTCATTAAGTTTATTGTCTCGCTAGCTACAAATAAACAATAAAGCTGTACATAATGTTTACTGGTTTAAATTTTAAATAATAATAATAGTTTTATAATTTGACTAACTTAACATAAATGTTTCTAGTGCTAAAACTGTGTTGTTGTTGTTGTTTTTATCTTTGGGCTCAGTTCAAAAACTCAACCTGTGAATACAACTCCACTGTCTAAACCATTTTTGCAGAAAGAAGCGCTGATGGAGCAGGTGGCGCACCAAGCTGTAGTCATGCAGTTTATCTTGGAGATGGCTTCAAACTCTCAGCAGGATCCTCGGGGCAGCTTCAGGCAGTTCTTCCACAAAGCCAAAGTAAGACTAGTACTGTGCACGGTACTGTGGATGTGAAGTTCTGTTCCTGCTGCTAGTTTCAGAACAGATTTTAGGAGTTTATCTACATTTTGGTGTGGATTTCTTCTAAAAAGACAAATCACATTTAACTAAACGTTTATTGTTTTTGAGTTATTCTGCACTACAGCCACGTTTGTATTGTTCATTTGTAGGAGGGACAAGCCGTCTACTTGGAAGTCTTCCACACAGAACTCGAGGCCTTCAAACGGAGAGTTAAAGAATACACTGTTAAATGTAAAAACGACACTTTGAACTTTCAACAGCCAGATTCTGGCACGAACTACAAATCTGACGCCAAAGAACCAACAACCTTTATAATCCAAGTAAGTCCTGCTCTCTTCCCGAGTGTCTCTGAGGCTCGTGGCCTGTTGCAGTTACTCTGATTAGTTGCTTGGTGGCACCACTGGGAAATTGAATTATTCTCATGGTGGAACAAAATAAAACAAAACTCATACATGGTCATATTTTGTGGCCACAAGTACTGTCAAGTGTGATTAAGCTTGTAGACGATCTATGTGGCCTTTCTTGATGATCTCTTTCATCTTTTTAGGTCCCCCAAAAAATCTGTATTGCTTTAAAAAAAAACTAAAAAGAGGGAAAAGCTGAAGTTATTTTTTAATTATTATTCAGTTTAAAAAATAATTGAAATAATTTGAATATCTGAGAACTCTCAAAATATCTCAAAAATGTTTTCTGAAGTCTTTTGTTAAACTTGGCTTGAACATGCACCAGGCAAACAAAATTAAATATGCTTCATGTTAAACAATTAAAAAAAATTGAATAAGAAATTCAGAGACATTTAGATTTTATAAAATTTCACAAATATTCAAAACGGGCCCCGCCTGTGACGCGACGCACGTCCAGCTCCTGTCAAACACGCTGCACCAGGTCTTGAATATGTTTTTGTTTTTGTGCCGTGTCAAAATTTGACTCCCAGTTGGTGCATCTTTTTCTTAAATTATCTCAAAAATGTATGATTTTGTTTGAACATGTTTTTTAATTTCTAGTAAATGTCATTCTTAATCTTAGGAGAAAAAAATACATAAAAATATTACTGGTGATCATAAAGTGTTACTTTTTACACATTTAATTTAGATATTTTGAGCAAGATTTAGCTGTTTGAACACTATGAAATTATTTTTGTCAGATGTAAAAAGTTGTTCGGGTGCACTTTGATGGTAAAATGTCTGAGGACAGTTGGCGCTTTTAACAAAAAGTGATTTTGAGGAATTTGGGGATCTTGTGATTCATTGCAAATATATTAATTCTTTAAAAATAAACTTTGATATCTTCAGAATTCTCTACATCAACAGCACATGAGACTGAAATCAGGAATAAATGGTGCTGACCTGAACTTTTTTTGAATAAAAAATGAATTATTCACAAATAGATTTTTTTTGTATTGGGTTTTGTTAAAAAAAATGGTTTGTTCAGTGTCTATTTAATTTATTTAAGGTGTGGATGAGTACACATTTATTAACAATATGAAATATAAATATTTAATCAAGACATTTTTATTCTTGATCAAAATGTATTTTAGTAGCTGATCGTTTCATTCTAGACGTGGAACACCCGTTTTACTGGTTATCAGCTGTCTAATCTGAATTAAAGTTCTAAATTTAAATTGGGTTTTAGCGTGTGTACTTTTCCATAAACACATGTTCCTCAAAAATATAATTTTAGTTGTTAGAACAACAGACACTTAAATGAGAGTTTTTACTCGTAATTTAATCATTTGGTGCCGTGGAGTCCTCTTGCATTTGTGATGGATCCCAGTCTGCCCAGCAGTTCTGCTTCATCTCCGTCAGACTGGTTTTGAGATATTTGTGAAATCCGAACTACAATTTTTAAACTCCATATTCTTTTATGTCATAAGCTTAACTTCAGAAAGTCAAAATAAAATGTTAGAATTTCACTGCTCAGATAAGTTTCGTATTGTCAGTAGTGATCTAAACTCTCGCTGCAGAGGATTAAAAAAAGGTTTCATTGTCGTTTGAAAAGGCCTTTTGTAAGTGACAGAGTGAACGGGGGCCACCTCCCCACTGCTGGCCCCACAGCTTCACGAACTGCCAAACATGTGAGAAAAGGAAAACCTTTCTATTCTTCAGGAGGTTCAGGTCTGCCAAAACTGGAGCTCATCCTGCTTTTAGAGTTTGAATTATTATTTTTTTCCCTCTCGGTGTCTCGCATTAACTCAACGAGCTTCTGGTTGTTTTAAAAAAAGCTATTTTGCACTTTATAATTTATGTTTTCGTAATGTTCCTGTCTTTGACTTCCAACAGGACACTGAATATAACATGAAACGCTGTTTAGAGCTTCGGACAAACGCAGGAAAATGGACGAAGGACGACGCTACAGAGACGGAAGACATGCGGATGATGGAGCTATAAGGACTGACCCTGCGTTTCTTTCATCACAACCAGCTTTCTCATGTAGGAAAACTGAGTTTATAGCTCTTCATGCAGCACACACAGCTAAAACGCCATTACAGAGCAGGAATAAATGAAGGCATGATCGGTCGTTGTGCAGAAAACCAGCCAGAAGCGACTTCTTAGCGTTGACTTTCATACACGGCTGCTGCTGGCCACAGACGAGACGGCTACAGCTGCGTCTTTGAACCGAGAGTGCTTGTGTTGTGCCATAGATGGAGATTTTTCAAGTTATGTCTTGTGCAACAGACACATTTTCTTAGAAGTAAAGAAATATTGCACATTTTTGTCCAGATCACATAAAGATTGTAAAAAAAAAAATCTTAAGTAGTACGAGATAAGTTCCCAGTCAGAGAAACTTAATGAGGAATCGTGTGAGTATGTAATAATACGCTTAGTTTTAGCTGAAGTTTGGCTGATTAATGGGTATTATTTATTTAATTTCAGTCTCGCTAAAACATGCTTATAATTAGTTAAATTACAAGCATGCTATTTGAGGAATACATCCAAGGGTTTTGACTTTTTTACCTTATCACTGGAATATATTAGACGTATCACGTTCATTTATTATCATTTTTTTTAATATCAAATTTATTATCTGCTGTCAAACCTCTTGGCTTTAAGCTAACGTGCAAAAACCGGTCAAGATGATTATGTTACATAGAGGAATTTAAAAAATATATATATAAGCAGAAGAAATATGAAATTTAGAGTTAGCCATCAAATTGATTATCCAGAGTGAAGAGCGGCCCAGAAATAGTCTGCTGTGGTCAGGTTCTGATCCGAATGGAAAAGAGCTGCACACAGGCCGACCGGTGCCAGACGATACATGATGTGTCATCTTTGGCATGGTTGCATGCAGGTGGCTGATTCTGATGGTCAGAATGAGTGAAACTGAGGTGAAACGTCCTGAATCTGTTAGAAAGGCCATAAAGACCAGAACGACTTGCTGCTTGAAGTCCAACAGGTTAAACTGGTGATAAATGATTTTAATGATCAGAGACTTTATATCTTTGCTTAGAGCACGTGTGCTATTTGGTGTGATTTAGCTTCAGGTACACAGTTGTTGCAATTTAAGTATTAAATAATTCCTCTTTTATCCAAAAAAGTATTTGTATGTGCTGTCTGGAGAGGATAAAAAATTAAATTTTATATTCTTTTCATTCAATGGTAAAGTGCATTAAAGTGCTTGTGACGTTCATTTCGTACAAGTACAAAAAAGAAAGAAAATATTTTATTATTTAAGAAATTTGGCGTAAACCTTGTATGATCTTACCCACTTTGTCACGTAAATGGCATATTCTGTTTTAACTTGGCGTGGCTAATGTAACAGACAAGTCATGACAAATGGAAACATGTTTATTTATTAAAACAATAATGTTTGAACTCTGATGTTTTTGTGTCCCGCTGATCCAAAAAACCCAAAAACATCAGATGCTTCTTTACGGTCTGTTGTTGCAACGCTCTGGTCACATGACGCCGTTCCCCTTTGTCATCACTTCCTGTTACTGCAAACATCTCAACAACTCTTCACCTCTGCGACGGGAATTCGTTTTTGCAAAATGTCCATAGTGCATTTGTATTTATCATGAGAAATGAATGTCACGGCCACTTTTAAGGTTTCGTTTTGACGAAACGCAAAGATACTCCTTAAGTTTCAGTTTACCCGCCTTCGCTAAAAACTGACAAGTCATTAATGTGCACTCAGCAGCGTTTGTTCCTTTTGTTCTCGGTGACCGCAGGTCAGCTTACCTGGTTCAAGTTGACGTTTTGCAGGTCGATATATAAGACGGAGGAGGTGGAGGAGGAGACTGGAGGCCAACGCGTTTAATTTCAGTGAAACAGAAGTCGTTTTGAAAACGGATGGCTTTTACTCTCCTGGAAACTGCCTCGTTCCTGATTAACCAACGAGCATTTAGTAGTTCAAATTATGTCAGACAGGTCAGTGCAGGTTTCTATTTTATTTTTATTTTTTTCAGTTTTTCTGATTTACAGCCGACGGTGATCTTGAAAATGTTGCTAGCTGTATGTTAAAGCCAGCCACTTCCCAGAATTCTTTGCACACTCGGTCTGCGTAGATTTCATTATCTGTGGCGGTACGGAGGAGCATTGGACGAATATTCAAGAGATTTTTACTGATTTGTGCAGTTTTTTTGTTTTATTTCTTTTGAAGGGCGTTTATTTAAATTTATAAAGAACACATGAAAATATGTTCATATTTTTAGTTTAAATGTATTTCATCATCACACAGATTTTGATTGGGAATTAAGTGAACGCCTTTTTTTTTTCTTTTTTTTTTGGGGGGGGGGCGGCTACAACTATTTTATTAAAACACTGTTTTGTACACTTTTTGTTGTTTTGATTTAAGAAATTATTGAGAGTGTAAAAACCTTTGAGCACCGCTCTGACTTTTGCAATCAGCGTAATTAAAGATATCTGAAACGCTAAATATAAAAGAGCAGTCGTGTGAAATGATTTACCGAACAACCACCACATCAAAACTGTCTTTATTTTACTACGTCTGCTGTTTTCTGCTGCTGTTGATGAATCAACCAGGTGTTTTCAGCAGTGAAGTGGAAAATTGCGCAAAACTACACATAAAATTTATTTAAAATATAGTTTTTATATATAAGGAAAACTTGGACGTGAGTCATAGTAATTTGACCAGGATACTTCAGTGAGTCAAATTCCTGTCACCTGTGGTTTATTGAAGAAAAAAAAAAAACTGCTTTATCAGATGCAAACGATGCATCATAAGGTTTTAAATGGCATTAATTAATTTTCATATCACTGAAATCCAGATATCTTGATTAGTAGTTCACTAAAAGTACACTCTGATTATGAACTAATCACCGCTAACAAGAATTCAAGACACATTCTACATCTATACTTTAGTTTTTAAGTGTTTTATATGTTCACTTTCATTTTTTTTCCCTTTGTAATACTCATTAACTCTGCTAAGACAATAAGGTTTAAATATTTGTAGTAAGGCTGTAGATGCTGTCTCTGGTTTCTTCCTAAATTGTGTTTCTGGAGTTCAAGTGTTTCCATGGAACAGTTATGATCAAGCATTGTCCTACCTGTTGTTGTAGATGGCTCTGTGATCGTTTGGAGAAGTAGTTTAAGCCAAAAATATCATAGCACTTCATAAAAAGTCTATTTTTAAAGGCCTTTACACCAGAACACAGACTACAGAATCAGAATAAACTTCATTATCATTGTACTGGGATACAATGAAATTATGTTCAGTCGTCCAAAAGATGGGTGGAGTGCACGTTGCTGCTGATTTAATAGCGCAGCCCCTTAATCTTTATCAGAATACTTTTGCAATAGGCAAAGCTTTGTCCCTAGTTATCATGTCCCAGAAGAAATTAGTCGACTCGTATCCGAGGTCAAACGGGGGAGTCAGATTCAGATAAGCCACAATTGATTATTTTCTTCAGGCAGGCAGTTTTTTCTTGTCAGCCTTGGAACTTTCCCAATTCAAAATGGCCAAATTTATGGGTAATCCACTCCACTGATCTGTGTTATGAGCCTTCCTCAAGGTTGATCCCAACATGCTGGCGAGTCCTAGAAGTCGCAGGTGGCCTGCGATTCTCATAAATCTCCTCCAACTTAGTTTAGCTTGTAAATCAGCTGATTTTGAGTCCTCATACCACAAACCAAACCGTCACACAGACTCGGAAGCTTTGTCATGGTCGAAACTGCTGCCGATGTTTTCTTCAAAAGTTGATTAAAAACAGGCCCACCGTTGCCAAAAAGCAGAAATCCTGCTATCAAATTCAAATATATAAATGTCTTCAGCGTCCTCCTGAGACAGAACTGAGACGCATCAGCTGCCAAACTCCCCACAGATCTTTCATGTACCCCGCAGCGTGATTCTCAGTCAGACAAGAGGGTTCTCCAGGACACTGTCATTTTGTTGAAAAGATTTTGTCGATTTCGTTGAAAGTCCAGCTCACCAGATCCATAACAGTATTTTTCGTTTGGGAGATGTGGACCAGGAGCGCCAGACACACAGAAAGTAAAAGCAGAAGAGGAGAACAGGGGGAGGGAGAGCAGAGGCGTCCGTCCAGAGGAGAGGTGGTCTTAATGTTTGCCAACATCAGCTGCTGCTTTATGATTTCAATCTGTTGTTCATAACCTAACCCCGATTCAAAACATCTGAACATTTGCTTCAACTGTTTCAGAGGCTAACGCTCCATAATGTCAAAAACAAATAAAGCGCCTACTTTACAGTACAATAAGTTTATTGTGATTTATAAATACGTGCGACAGTGCTGAACTGCACGTTAAAACATTTGCTTTTCAACATCACAGCAGATAAGCATTTTGAAGCTTTTAACAGGGTAAACATGTCCAGCAATGTGCAAAAACTGATACTTTCCAACTGTAGAAACTCTGTCAAAGTATGTGCTCATATAGTTTTATTATTATTAATATTATTAAGACAATTGACAGATGGTCCAAATGGGAAAAAGGAGTGTTTAAGAGGCATCGCTAGTGGTTGAACCATGTCACATAATGAGGATCTCTTGGAATTAAAAATATTTATTACAATAACTTTTTTAAGCTATTCATCAAAAGCAGCTAAAGGCACTTGTGTGCATAAACATCAGGTTCCCTTTAATGAATCTACTCGCAGCGTTAAAAACAGTCCCTGGAAGGCATTTATGCACACATTTATAAAAGTTTACTGTAATTATTAAAAAGGTTTCAAGTCCGTGCCCATTCAGGGTTTTTGGGAATTAAAATGATAAAAACTAAAGCTGGTTACAATCTTCATAGTCTCCCGTTTCCAATTTTAACTCGTGATTCAGTAATCTGGCGTTAAAAAAAGGCACAAAATGGATGGAAGAGCCAGTCGATATTCACTCACCTGAGTTTCCCCAAACTACAACGAACGAAGTGCTACAACAAGCATCGAAAAGGAATCCCGTTAACGTGTAGTTTTTATGTGACGTAACTAAATTTGCCTGATTTTCAGTTTGAAATGCAGAACTTTGATGCAAAACATCCACCCGGATCTCGTGGCACTTGAACTGGTGCACAGAGTGGCTCCTCTCGGTAAACCGCAGACCGCCTCGTTCATTGTCGGGCTCTTCAGGCGACTCTTTGACTGAGCGAGGAGAATTTCCTGTGGAGGAACGCTTCGACGTGAGGCCAGATCTTGTCGGTTTCCGTCCCTGTGAAGGTCTCCAGCACGCCTTTACTCCTGCAGGGACAAAACCGCAAATATATCCAGCATTAGGCAAAGTTTAACGTATGTAGAACAACAATGACCAGCTTTTAAATATAGTGTAAAATAAATAAAGCTAAGGCAAATAATATGTTGGCATCCGAACTGGTAATTTGTGTCTATTTATATCAAGGATTGTGAACAAATAAAGTAGAACAGCCATGTATACACTGTAAAAGAGAAGAAAAAA